ACGTGTCCCGTTTAAGCCCACATAGGAGAGGACAGGCTATCCTCACCGATGCACGTTTACTGAAATGTGCATACAATTTAAATGTACGAGAGAGAATGTACTTCTGAGAAAGTTTGAACTTTTTGACTTGAACGATAATAATGCTTTTGAGCTACAAAGTGAGTTCGGTTCAGTCAAATCAAGCATCGCACACACACACGCATTATTAGGACAATGGGTCCTAAGCCTTTTTAAGCCTTTTTGAAATAGGATGACAATTCTGATTACAATTTTACAATGAGCACACCTGCCTTTCCCTTACCTTACTCTACACACATGACACACACGCCCTATTTCTGAAGCCGAGCAGTTGTGCGATATCAATGCAATAAAAGAAATCACCATTATTATTAGGTACTGCCCCAGTCATTCCGGCGACTTGGCCACCTAGTTCTTCCACCAAGTTTTTTTTTCTCATTCCACTTTATAAATAAACTCTTGAACCGTACTTATATGCTACCTACGATACAATAATACAAGTTTAAGGCCAGTTTGTGAGGCATATTTATATAGCTTTTATATGATTTGTAACATTTGTGCTCAAGTAGGGCGTATGCGTGACATAAGTGTACATATTTAGTATATATGCTGCATTGTGAAAATGCTTTACAATTTCCAAGTCTTGTTAGAATACAAATCCGAGGTTTCCTTACTGATTATCAGTGATAAGCCAATTTCCAGATTTTAGCAGCTATGAGGAAGGATTCAAAAGTTGCAAAAGCGATTAACGAGTTTAATGGAAAACTGGCATTAAAATGGCGGTGCAACCTTTCACCCTTGGGTTTGCTTGCTTAAAGATTGAAGTTGACCCGGCACACACATTATTGATTTAAGAGATCAGTTGCATGATGATGAGCAGAATAAACACATGCACTCTAAATCTGTGATGATGATGTATTTTAGCAGTAGGAATGAGTAGACAAAGTCTATAACTCAGTCAAACTACTATATTCATAGATTTCCGATTGACAATAAACGCAAAACCGTCACATCGTTGCTCACCAATCGGCGTGACGTGCGAGTATACTTGAGTTAAAATCACAGCCAATTAAATTAGCAAGAATCCAATCAACATCAAATCCCATCCATGATGCGATCCTTTCTGTTTACCCTTCCTTGCTCAGATCACTGCCGGATCTGCAGCCTCCAGCCAAATGTTTGATGTCATCCATTCCATAAGTACACACCCAGTGAGCAGTACTGATGAAAGTCATGTATGAAGAAGCATTGGTTACAATGAAGCAGGGAATTGCTAGCTGAATAAATTGAGACATGAGTAAAAGAGACCCTTTCACTCGCTCCCTGCTCTCGGGCTGAGTCAAAAATACTCCAAAAGATTTGATTAATGACTTTATCAAAAGTTCACACTCGCGTATGCCCCACAGCCACATTCGCTTCCTCTTCTGCACCACCAAATGTAACCGAAATGAGCTGGGTCGGAAGCCATTTTTGTTGAATAATAATAGAATCAGGCTCAATAAAAGGCTAGCAGTGGCGATGGTGCACTGCTTGTTGGCAGTAAAATTTGATGGCATTATTACCCTCATAAAAATTGAAAGGGTTGTTCTTCCACTGCATTACGCACACGACGCAATAAAACACATGAGCGACATGGACCCCGACGGCTTGACTTCTTTGCGCATGAAATCTACACGCCATTCAGGAAACACTACATACTTTTTTGCCCGATTTTGACTTGGTAATTCGGGCTCATCGACAATTTCCTTATATAATTTCTGAAAATCAATGAATGCGAAATGACTCGACAATTTTTTGAAGATGTGTCGTGGCTCACTTCTGCTGCCTACTTATTGCTCCCTCTAAATCTCCAACAGCTAGGATTGAGATGAGAAGAGCAATTCACAATAATATCAAATATGAGAATCATTCCCTATTCACCTCCCAAATTAGAAGGCCCGTTAATAATGGGCCAACAATGTTTGTAAATATACCGATCAATGTACACAGAGAGAGAGGGAGAGAGAGAGTTCTTGGTGGCATAGCTTTTTGGTGGACATTTTGCATTGTGATTTGCTTTTGTGAAAGAAATTCACGCCCTGAAATATCAAGAGAGCGGTGAAAAGGTTCTTTTATCCCTTCTCACGTACGAAGGCAGACCTTTCTATTCCACACCACCGAGCAAAGTAAGAGCCTCCTGGACCTTTCGTCTCTATGCGTGCAAATTACAATTGCCAGATTCTTATTTGTGTAAACATCTCCCACCGACGACAGCGACCCACTATTTTATTTACCTCATTGAATCACTCACTCAAAGGTGCAGAAGGTGAGCATTGATGGCGAGCACGTACTGAAGTAATTATTTCCTCTCAACTGACAGTTTCTACGAGTTCAAAAAGTTCTGCAAATCATCTTTCCCTTCAAGATGATGAAACGAACAAAAATGCAAATACCTGAGAAGTCGGCGTAAGTGTAGGTTAATGCCCGGACTGATTTCTCTCTAAATATATGCATCAATCAGTGGAGCTATTATATACTCTGGAGGACTACAATAAATCTAAAATATTAAAGTCTAAACCGCCCAAACCTGCTAAATGTCACCAAATAACGTAAAAATATGTGCATATACGAATCAGTTATTTGCTGCAATAAGATTTAACGATTGGTCATATTAAGATGGTGTTATTCGCTGCATGATTTGTAAAATATAATACGACACACGAAATTCAGGTTTCATCCGAAAGGAATTTGATTCATCATAGTCATTCAATTTGCTTATGCATGCACGGCGGAGAACACAATGAGAAGGCAGGCACTCAGCCAAATATGCCAAAAATTTGAAATATATTTAGTAATGCGCAGCATTCTGGTCTTATAGATTGAGAAAGCAGGTGCATTCATGCCAAGCTGCTATGTCATAAAATAACAGCAATAATGTCATCAATAATTCCATTCAAAATTCATTCATGACATTTGTCTTTAGTTGTAAATTAAAACTTGTAATGGCGACGCATTTGAGGCGAATATTAAATTTATTAGAGATGCACAATGAGTTTGAAAATGCTTCGTCATTTTACTGTGTCAGAACTCACCGTTCATCAATTTATGAATAACGTGTTCAATTGAGCTAACTGCACAAATATTCGAAATATGGCTAAGTTGGTGGGGGTATTGTTATTGAGTCAAGTGACGCTAAATACATCACCCACTGAATAATGCGCTGGGAAAAGTAACGGTATTTCAAAAAATCTATGAATGACTAAACAATTATTTATTCGTTTCATTGAACTGAAACTCTGAAGGTATACAGTAAAATATTTTATATATTGAAATTGTTAGGTTAACTTATTAATTGTAAAATTTTAATTTGAAAACATAAACTGTGATGCAGTAAAAAAAAAAAGAAATATTTTTTTAACTCAATCGAAATTAGACTATCGAATGTTTGTTTCTTTGTGTTTTTATTAGAATTGAATAGGAGTGGCAATCCGATCCGAGAAAATCCGATCCGAAATCCGCGGATTAGGATCGGATCGGATTTTTCCCTGATCCGATCCTAATCCGGTCGGATCGGATTGACTGCTTAATCCGATCGGATCAATCCGAAACTCGTCATCGGATCTCGGATCGGATTTCGGATTGGTGAATTTATTTCACATTCCCCCAAAATGTACACACTAGAACTACGTATAAACTGGGTCAATAATATCTTGCATACGCATGTTTTACCCGTCGCGGAATTTTTAAATAATCATTCAGCCTGGAAAATTCTTATTTCGGCTGAAAGATTCAGCCGAAGTCGGAATTTTTTTAAAACGCTAATTTTTAGAATTTTAACCAGGTTGCAGAAATTAAACATGTTTGCTTAAAATTGCTTAAATCATTGAAATCTACAATTTAATTCAATTCAATTCAATTTGAAGGTCTCATCTACAATTTATTGCTTATTAAGATAAAGGACAGAAATTTTCAGGGTATTTCTGAATATTGAAAGACGCACAAAATCCTAAATGGATTAACTTTAAAAGCTTTTGGTCTTTTTTAAATGAATTAATTGTTTAATGTTATTTTAGAATATCACTAAATAATCAAATTAGGCTCATAAATCGTTCATTTGTAGCAAATCATGGGCGGTATTATTTCTTTGTTACTACATATTACAGACAGTAACTTCAATAACAAATTTCGTGCCGAGCTGGTTGAGGAAAGTTGATAAATTTCAGTTCCAATTCAATGTTCCAATATGATTCATGAATTGCTTAAAAGTATGAATTACCTGGGCGGGTACCAGGTACTGACAATGCGATGGTGTGAAGTGTAACCCTCCGATTTGGTTGAAATTTCGGAATTATAGGGTCCATGTCAATACAACCAACGTTTCTTCAGCCAGCTTGTGTGATGGTCAGAATTTGGCAAAATATCTTAGGTCAAAGTTCAAAAACGGGCGATTTTCACCAGGCGGAAGACGCAAACTCAACTTCCATTCTCTTCCAGTGCTCAAAATAGCACATTTTTCAACTTTAACAACAAATATTTTTCAAAATTTTGACCATCGCACAAACTACCTGAAGAAACGTTGGTTGTATTGGCATGGACCACTTAATTTCAAAATTTCAGCCAAATTGGAGGGTTACACTTCACACCATCGCATGACGAAGCAGGGTATCAAGTTACCCGAAAAATTCATATATTTTATCAAATTATCGGATTACAATCCGATCCGATCCGAAATCCGACGGATCAATCCGAGTCGGATCGGATTGAGTGTTTAATCCGAATCGGATTGATCCGAACACCTGCTTAATCCGAACCGGATCAATCCGAAGGCGTCATAATCCGATCCGATCCGACGGATTGTCACTCCTAGAATTGAAGAATCTTCAATTGATGCAATGCCATACAGCCGAATAAGCAGTAGCGATTACTGAATGCCAGAGGAGAAAGTTGCACAAAATATTGCGATATGTGTGACGCAAGTAATGTGTAAAGTATTATGTGCTTACCTGGACACGCGACTCTGGGAGATTGATTTTTAGAGCAACTTCTTCCCTCATAAATATATCTGTCAGAATAAAAATTGACCATGAAATTTCTCGTTTTGTTGTTCAGAATTCTAGAAAAATCAGTCCTAGAAAATTATTCACCTGGATATCTCGTTTTTCCAAACAACGACTCAAGTATGTCCAGCTGAGCTCTAAATGTAATAGTAAATTACATAATAAATTACAAAATTAATTACAATAAATTACAATAAATTACCTTGTGAATGTGGTTCTCTCACGTCTTTGTTTTCGGGGAGCTGAACCTGTAATAATTAAAAATAATATGGCTTAATGTAGAATATATGTAGCATATAAATTAATAGAAAGATGATGATAGACAATTGACGGCATTAAAGATAACTAAATAAGTCTAGTTGATTGTTAGAAATGTAGCAGCAAGAAACATTCCGTTGCATTAAATTTTAACAAATAAGTGAGACGAATAATCAGTTAATCGCATCGTGACTAAAATCCTGATCCCGTCCAAAACTAACTTTCCATTTACAAGCAATAATAATCTCTCACACAACTGTTTGTTATGCACATATTTACACCTATTTTATTCATATGTGCATGGCCAATGCAAAATTCACTCAACTAAACTTCAACCGCACGTAGGGATTTGAGTATTAAACATTTGAGGCGTGTATGTCGAATGCAGGGAAAGTTGTCGAATCTAGTTTTATTAATGTACATGTACTTAAAGTGCATCGGATTATTGTGCATTGAAGTTGATTACGATTGAATGATATCGAGTTTGATAGTGATTCACATAGATTATTCCTCCACTAACTAACTATATAACTGACTGCTACATAACATGTACATATGCCATCTGAGATATTACATTTGTACACATAAGTATAAATTATAAATGCGTGTATCCAGAGTTGCGTCATACTTATTATTCAATTTTCTATTTCTCTAGCGTTAAAGTTCCATTTCTCAGTCTAAAAGGTGAGGATTGATGCAATTTGGTCTGATTGTGATCACTAATTTACATCAATAATGTGGGCTAAGGTTGTAGGATAAAAGACGATTCTTGTTCGCCTTAACAAATTGAAACTTGTATACAACAACGCAGTAAAATGTGCTCATGGGACGCTTAGTATATCTCGTGTTTACGCATATAAAGAAGAACATGGAAATAAATCAAAACTAAAAAATCCACATTATCTCAAAAACGATCAACTTGATCGAGTATAAAAAGCAGAGAAAAATGAAAATGGGAAAGTCAAATGGGAGAAAATGTTCAATCGTTCATCTCAAATGGATGTGTATTTGTGTAGTGATGTGGATTATAAAGGGAAAAAAACTTTGCTTCTTAAGCCATGCAGTTGAAGAATTTTACTTGACAATAACTTTTAGTTTTAGACAAGAGTACAAAAAAATGTCGCTTTTTCACACTTCTCTGATTGATCAAATGATAGTATCAACTCATCTTCATATTTCCCCTAGGAAAAAGCACTTCAACTCGTTGATCTCTCCTCCGCTCGCTCGAGAGGTGGAAGAATGGCAGAGCATCTCGTTTTCCATCTCAGTCAGAGCTGGAGGAGAAAAAGAGACTCGACTGGTTCCAGTTTTTTTCTGGAGTGACAGCCTTTCTTATGGAAAACGCTAATGGATCAACAAACCTCAAAAAGTGCTTTCGTTACTTTTTAATGTCAGTTTTGGTTTCACGCTTCACTTCCCAACCAAGTCTAAAGTCGCGCATTACGCATATCTTCTGACGGTCATTTTTATTATAACATGATGATTGCCAGTTCTAGTGCTTGCATGGCTGAGGGTGACGACCACGATGAGCGATATAAACTTTGTCCACCATCTTGAACCATTAGTTTCAGCCCAAGAGACAAAATAAACTGTAAAAGTTGAGGCGGTGTAGTTAATGGGATTCATAATCGCTATCCTAATCCTTCATTACATTTTTAGGGTTGTGTAAAAAAGTACTAATGTGTTGGAATTAGGTGCTGTCATTCATGTGAAAGGTGACACTTCCAGAGATGATGACTTACTTTCTAAAAGTTGACGACAAGATCTTATAAAAATGTGCATGCTTGATGGTGCTTGTCGTATCGAGCCGTTTCTGGTTTCAAGACGTCACCAACATTCTCAACATTTTAAATCTCTTGACTGTATTTATAACTATTTTTCCTGGCTTATCACAAATATCTATATAAATAAATGTGTGTGTGTGGGAGATAGGAGAACCCCATTTGTTCAGTAAAATATCGTTTGGCTCAGAGAAAGGTATTTATTTTATTTCTCACCAAGTTTGAGAAATTCGGAGCAAAATGAAAAGTTAAGCTGCGAAGGATTTTTTGGAGCAGCAGGATAAATTTAGATAGTTAGGTACGTATTTATATAAAAAGTACGGATGAATCTGAGGATGATTTACCTAGGTCGTAGCAGTGGTATGTTGGTATCTCACCTGGCGGGTAGCCCATCGACGGGTGCATGTCCATGGGTGTCAGGCCCAGCCCGTTCATCGTGTAGGGGGAGGACTTGAGGTAGGACATTGAGGGGGGAACTCCAGGCCCCCCATGCCCACCACCCCCACTCCCGAAAGACGAGAAAGCCAGGATGTTCGCTATTTTGACAACGTTTCTTTCGGATCGGAAGGAGAGTGCAAATTGTCTTTGAAGCTCTCTCCTTTAAAGGAAACAATCGCTTCTTTAGTTAAGGTCGGCCAGGAGTACTCGAAATGTTAGTCCCATCAGTAGCAGCACAGCACCTATTTTAAAGAAACAAGAAAATTTTTCAGCTGTGTGGTGAATACGACTGATTTAAGTAATATATTGTCACGATCAAATCACGTCACAGGTTCTCTGCACAATATTATTGCAGAGAGAGAGAGAGAGAACAGAAAGAAATTTCAAAAGAGACAATTTCATAGTTGGTGGATATATATTGGTCATCTTGTTAATCCTCCTTTTCAAAAACTTTTTTGATCAGATCTGTTGAAATGTCATGTTCGAAAACCATGCTGGGCCTTTCAAATTCAAACGTTGAGGACAAGCATGTACAGTAAAAGTGCTCTTCATGAATAACACCCTCACTTAACAAAGGAAAACCCGAAGGTGTACGTACGTATGTTGTACTATGAAGTATAGTCCGTCCGAATAGAATTTGTCACCAGCCTCTCATGACAGTTGATTTTACAAAACACACGCCACAAAGTGAAATGCGTGGATGGATGGATGGAAGCCTTACAAAGGTGTCATTCAAAAAATTATGTGTATCTTTTCAATGTCCACTGGCCGGAAAGAAATTGCAAGGAAAATGAAAATAAAATTACTTGATAACTCAACAGCAAATCCTTGTTGACGAAGCCAAGGCAAACCCATGACTATCGTGTACATGGTCAAGCAGAGTGACGGCAATGATAATTTTAATTGTTTGCTGGCTACCACAAATTTTCATAGAATTGTCATCATTCTCGGAGCCAAAAACAAGAAATTCCAAGCTGGTGATGTAAACCAACTGAAACGCAGAGAGAGAGAGAGATTCCTAAGAAAGTTGGTTCAGCGTGAGTGGCCTGAATGACAGTCAAAATAAAATTATAAATCATGAGATCTTCCATTCTTCTCGGGTGGACCATTCAGCCATTCGTTTGTGTCATTCTTGTGCAATTTGTCTGCTAGCTAAAGTCATCATAATTTATGTGTACAATGGATGGATAATAGTTTCGAGAATCATTATGAGATGTGTCAGGACTGTGAAATTAAATTACGGTTCCTTAAAATGACTACAGCCACCATTTCTGTTTGTGAGCACCTTTGGCGTTTGACAAAATTTGATTACAGCACTTTCGGTTGTATCTCCATTCGTGATCATGTCTGTTATTCATTCAAATATTTATGCATATACACACTTATTATATATGTAAACGTTCGCAGAAACGAGCAGTTATAAAAAATATTTCCCATTTTTGTAAAAAATTGTGCCAAAAGATGATAATAGTGATTATGGATATAAATATGCAGAATGCAAACATGCTCAATCGTAGCTACGAATTTTCCAAAGTGTGAAATCAAGTACAAAGAAGCAATAAAATAAAACGGTTGTGCTGAACAAAAGTTCCATTCACTCATCTTATGTAACTGACGCACACAACTGCATGCATCCTGCATAAGGCCGTACGAGTCTGCTTTCAGAAACTGAATTTTTGCTCTGACAGAAATAATCCCACAAAACCACCCGAACACGCAATAATATATACCATATAGCTACATATAACCTTCTCAATCCATTCAAAATTTCTCAAAGCATCGTTGCCATCAAAGTTCAAACGGTTAGTGTACATTAAAAATGAACTGTATCCATTCCAAGCCAGCAAAGTAGAATGCGGGCACATTTCAGAAAAATGTATCCAAATTACAAAACACATCAGCAGAAGCATCATGCATAAGAGTATTATTGAATTCAGCAGAGGACCTTTCCTCTTTGTTATGCGAGCCTATTCATTAGACCAGTTTGATTCATTTTTTTTCGGATCCTCACATATATTGGCTCGATACACCTTTTTATTTCCACAGGGTGTGTTTCAATTCAGGGGAAACGACTCTTTCAGCCTTTTCATAATTTTAACCATGGGTTATGATATCCATTTATGATCTATTTAGCATTTAGATACCCATTTCGTAACGTCTCTTGAAGAGCTCTTCAAGAACTCTGGCCTGCTCAAGTTTCGTTTTCCGCAACCAAACCACGTCATGAAATAATGAAACAAAATGAAAAGATGTTACAACAGGTTTACACAGAATGGAGAGAGACCACACCATCATGGAGAACAAGAACAAGAGAGAACGAGGAAGGAAGGTTGCATGTATTTGTCAAGCACTCAAAAGTGATCATTTACTGACAAATAATAATGTACAACCAACAAAAGATAAAGTTCACACCCACCACAATGGCAGTATTACAGTTTCAAGTGCCACACCACCTCAACGAAACACGCCTCCTGGTTTCATTATTTCCTTCCTGTGGTGGCTGATCATATTTCACTCTGTAACACACGGTCTTTTTTGGTCAATTTTCATAAAAACACTCCAAACTCGGAAGAAATGGCAAAGAGCCCACTTAACTCAATTCAACTATTTATTGTGATAAGGGTGTCAAATTTCAAGTTTAGTTGGTGGAATGTTTTACTAACAATTTCAAGTCGCCCTCTAGACATCGTTTACGTATATAATGATGACACTGATAACAAAGATTTTATACATATTACTCATTTCACACTACCTTAATAGCAGTTACTGATATGAACATCACGACAATAAGTTTTATTGCCGGAGATTGTATTAAATACGTACACCATCATCGCCATCATCACCATCTTCAGGGTAAAAATTTAGAAAAATCACGTTCCAGAGTCCTAAACCAATATTGTTCAGCAGGAAATGGTTATTGAATCGGATATTACCAACAGGTTTTGAGTTAGGCTAGGCCCAACAAAAGTATAATTTCCACTGGATAGAAAATATTTAAAAAGTTTTAAAAAAAAGCGCAAAAGAAATAATTTTACAAAGTTCATTCCTAACAATACAAATTTAACCCCATTACGAAAAGGCATTGAACACAGGAATGTTTTTTGTAAAATTTTGATAAATATGGAAATTCTAAATAGGATTACCATTAGACATTATGCAAAATAAAAGGATTATAGCAATCTCAAGTAATTGTTGTTTACTCCCAACATTCAAGAGTTTTCTCTTCAGGTATCCAATCCATACATGACAGGCTCAGAAACTCATCCGTTTAGAGCTTGAACTTGAAAATTTATAAATCCTCATTATTCTCTTCGCCGGTGCAATACGGAATTTTGAACAAACGGAATTTGTCCTTGTTGCAATTTGTGACATTACCGCATCCACTTAGTAGTATTTGAGCAAAATGAACTTTATTTACTTAGGCAAGCGATTGAACAATGCGACAGGGTTTGAGTTTCAGTTGAGATTTTGAGTTTGCATGATCCCATTTATGTGTTCTCGCTCATATTCTTCTGGGTGCATAATGTAATTGGTGAATTGGTGAATGGTGAAAAACATGGGATTAAAATTCCCCAAGTTTCCAACAGTTTTCCTCATTCTCTTGTAAGTTTGTTTTTCTGGTGATAGACAACCACTCGTCCGTTTGCCTCTCATTTCTTTGCATCACCCGGCATCATCACAATCTCGACACAGTCTCGAGGGGACAAGACAGGTCACAGTTTCAAACGCAGATAGAGAAATTGGGTATTGAGGCAAGAGTGAGAGAATTGGAATGGTCCAAAGGCCACAACGTGTAAGTTGCCGATCAATTGTGACAGATGTTTAGATGATCTGAGTCGAAAGAAGGAAAAATCCTTAAATATGTGCAAGCATAATATATCAACTGCATTTTAGGTGTGCAAGACCAGATATGTTGTACATATATGAATCTCATTACGTTCCTTGGTCTGCGAGCTTGTCAGTGCACCCACCAACACGAGTTCACTGGATTGGATGAGAATTTTGAATATTCATAAAGGTCTCGATAAAGGGTGTTGTTTTCAGCACCAAGTGGAGCTATATCACACTCCATCTCCACCGCAAGCAGAAATATGAAACTTTTTGAAACTTTTGTCCTAAAAATTCAACCTTTTTTCTTCACCTTGTTCTTCCAACCCATCAACTCCTCTTCGAAATTAAGTGGTCTGGTTGAAGGTAGGCAAAAGGGTGCATTTGTAGCAACAAATAATAATAGCAATGCAACTAACAAGTAACCTCACCTGAATTGTCTATTGTGGTTGAAAACAGCAGCTTCGCGTATGCATGTAAGTATAAATATCACATCTCTGGAAATGGTTTTCTCTAGTTAGTTAGTTGATGTTCACCATGATTATTGATTCCAAGTGGTTGATTCTTTTCTTATCTTTTGTCGTCGTCTATCTGTCTGCCCTTCCACTTTTCTTTGTGAAGGATTCACCAAAGTGAATTTCTTTGTATGAGAAATTCCAACTTGGGCACTATTAGAAAACTTTTACCAATCCTTCCTCATAGGAATGTGGTACATTCTTGTTTTTGAGACAAGTGACTGCTTTATGGTGACTGTCATGGATAGAAAGGAAGGAACAAAGGGGAACAAACACGATACGTCAAGCAAGTGGCTGAACAAATCGTACGTACAAATGCATCCATGTATTTTTTTTCTTCTTCTGTATGCTCTGACTTCGACATGAAACTGGCCAAGACATCATATTCTTCCCACATAGATTTTTTTTTATAACTGCGTACCTCAGGTGTCTATGACACTTTATATGATCACATTGTGAAGTTTTATGCAATTGTAGGGTTGAACAAGACGTCAACTACTTGGAATTATTGTAGAGAAATTCGAGACATGAATGAGCATTTATTCATGGTTTATTCAATTGGACATGTGTTTTATGCTTAATTTTATCTTTGCCGTGACACTACTGTTCAAGTTCAGTCACAGACACATTATTTATTACTTTTAAAAGTTTGTTCTGAATTATTATTGTTGTGTGATTGGACATATGTGTATTCACCATGTGGAAATAATTGAATGACATAATGAAGTAATGACTCAGCAAAAGATTCTTATATGTATCCATGTAGCATTTATTTTTCATAGACGCACTTTACTAGAAAGCTCTCGCCCATACGCGACTTATTATACAACCGTGATCCAAAATCAAAGATGAGAAAGTCAAATAAACCAATTACCGCGAGCAGATATGGCAAATAAATTGTTTAGTTGGCAGAATACGTCGTAGATGTTGTGGAGCATTAAATTAGTAAATTTCAAAATACTCCTTCGACAAATAGAATGAGTACATACCCCGAGGCATGTTACGTTGTATTATGGTGCATGCATGTACGTATAGCAGAAAAGTGAAGAAGGGGTGCACTCTTCATAAACAAGTTAGTGAGGGTTGTCAGCTCGCATGAAGATGATCGGTAATGGCCAATTATCAAGTTGAAAACACGCATCATAAATACGACGACGATGAGATGCAGAAGGGGTGATTACTATCAGAGTAATGCAATCATATTGAAATGACAATCGACAATTGGCTGAATGGATATCGAGAGAGGATACATGTGCTTGGTCAGAAGTGGTTGCCGTTACCTAGTGGTGGTCGTGGTGGATGATATTCCATATTTGAGATGAGAGTTTAGATGAATTGTTTACGCAGAGATTTCAAAACACTTAAAAAGCAGTCAGATGTAAACCAAGATCTTTCACCTCATTCACAACAATCGATGGAAACACAATGAGATTTCTGATTGTTAAGATTGACGCATACAGCTACAAATGGAGTGGAGGAGCAAGTTCTAGTCATACGTGTATCCATGTGAAATACACCCTTTGGGACGCGCATGCAACCTCTTGACTTTCAATTTGTCCCTATTGTTCACCACCAATCAGCATGACAATTCAACACAAAATTTAGTAAAAGTAAAAGGTGCTCGCCTTTTCTGTGCCCCACCAGCCCACCATTGATCCCTTCATCATAATCATAATAATCAGCAATGAGATCAATGATTGAATGATAGCCATTTAACCACTGACTGCGTAAACCAGCCCCATGACATCAAATTACTTAGCATGGGCTGGACAATGTTCGGTTCACTGAGTGTGTGAATGACTTCTTATTCTTTTCTTGCATGGAAATTGAATACCCAAAATTAACAAAGAATTGAAGGGATGTAAATTATTTTGTTTGTTTGTTGGGAGGCACTTTTGTCCCATGCTGGCTGCCTGCTTCTTCAATTGCCCACTTGATCGAATGAAAATGACAAAGGCGAGAATGACGTGGCGTGAAAAAATGTATCAGATCGATTTCATTTCTTAAATTACGTGTAGCTTAATAATTTAACTTTGCTTGGAAAAAGCTCACATAAATTTTCATTCTCAGTTTCATGCATATACATACAGCCTACTTATAAATTTAATTGGTATTGTTTATCTTAAACTGAAAATTATTGAGAGAAAAAAACATATTATTCAATTTAAAATCGTATACAATACCTGTTTTCCAAAATTTGTGTATTAAATAATGGTATGCAAAAATTAAACCATTGATAATGAAATTTTTCAATATGCAACCTGTATTCCAGACCTTTATAAGTGCATTAGCGACGATATAAACTGGAATGCATAATATTTTAATACTTGACATTATACTTGCATGATTATATTTGATTCGAATTCGTTTATGGCTGGTAAACTGACACCCTTTACTTTACACGGATTGTCTCAGAATTCATGAGAACCAGCCAAGAGTCAATTGAGATTTTTTTTCTTTCGTTCTCCATTCATTTACTTTGCTGAATGGATGAAAGACTCGGAACTAAAAAACTGCATGGTCTCCAGCAGTAAAGGTCAAACTTGAAGAGAACGGAGGAGAAATAGCTGAATGAAAACTAATTTGACTTACTTTGCTTAATTCCACCGGTTCAAGTTGTTGGATTTTCTTGATTATTCTTTCTCGCACACTTCCAGCACAATTACCCGATTTGCTCTTCTTCTCACCCGTCGTCCTCCGTAAGGTTTAGTTCAGTTATGCTTAATCGCCTTAACCAACTTTTTTTTAAATCAGTGAGATAAAACACAATAAACTCACCTAAGCTGACAAAAATCTACTCGTGAATGCAAGGAGAGATAAAACAAGTCTTAAGCCTGTTACAGAGAGGCTTAGATCTCTCAAGCCCCGTATTAAATAAGAGAGACCAAGGATTGATCCGCCAATCCTCCCCTTAAACTTTTCAAACATATTCAGCCAGAATCAGAAACGCTGACTTCTTCCTTCCTTTGCAGCCACTCTTTCTCCTCACTACCTCCCAACATAGGAACGACAGCGACGACGACGACGGCGACGGACGACGACGTGGTGGGATAGCCACACCACCACCACCATCAACCAACATCGTGATAACCAAACCTTTCCCCTTTTGGCCAATCCAGTGTCCACGATTGAAACCAAACCCTGCACCCACGAACGAGATGATATCACTCGATAAAAGGCATATCTGTAGCAACAGCGCAATCCAACGCTACGCAACAACGCTCCAGCAACAGCGACCCCATCCCCATTTATTTCATGTGGCGTGACACAACATAATGCAATGTAATGTAGAAGCGTTGTTGGTGGACATAATAATAATAGCTTTTCCACTCGGGCCAGAGGAGTCTGTGATCGTGGAGAAAGTCCGCCCAGTGTCCCAGCTAGCGTCCTCCCTCGCCCTCTACGCATGATGCCATTGGGTCTGGCGTCGCGAGATCAGCCCCATGGCGACGTCCTCCCCCTTCCATCGCCACCACCAACCTCGACGAGGAACGTGCAGCAACTCACCTTTGCGCGGACGCCTTTTTTACCACTTCTCTGATTGAATACCAGTTCTCATGTGCTTACTTCGTGGAGAGATCTTGTTGAGAGCGACCTAGGAGCTTGGCGTTTAAATCAAGTTGACTCTTTAGCTTGCTTGTGAAAAAAGGATCGCATTGCGTGAGATGAAAAACTTGAAAGGAAAAATGTATCAAACATTGAGAGTGGATTATTTGTTGATGTATTTAATGCTGCAAAATGTACTTTTCTAAATATGTATGTGCGAAAATAATAAATGGGTAAATATGAATTTATGGATATGTACATACGTACTGATAAAGAGATCGATAATGAAACCGATTCTTTTAAAACATTTGAAAACCCTAAAACCTTGGTTCAATTAATGAAGAAAGTTAATTTTACCTTCTAAAATGTATGCATTTATGCAAGTAATTTAGTAATTAGCATGATTATGAGCATGAATATTTTGAAATACTTAACTTGTGTTCTACATCCAGTAATCCACTTTTGTGCACTTGATGTCAAAAATGGAGTAATCAACACCTTTGAAAAGCGGGGCTTATCCGTGGGTCGTAAGCTAATAAAATGAATCTCGCAGTTTGGATAATGCTCTCACAATGACTAATCCTGAGTAAACGGAACTAACCATGAAAATGCGACTACGACAAGGACGACATGAAAGGAGGAAGAGGTATCAACTTTGCATGCATGCGAACAAATCCTACTTAATGTTAATGCTCTCGTTAAGTTGCTTACAACCACGACTGCGTTATATGTACATGCATATGTACATATATAATAGTGCAACTTTGCCTCTGTGGTGGTGCAAATGTAAGCCAACTGACTAGCACTGCTACAAAATGTTTTCTTTTATCAATAATATGGTATTAAGTAGTCTTTTCTCCTATTTAGTACTTATTTGGGCTGCATGCTTTACCCCGTTTCTTGCAGAAGCACCAGTGGTGCACGGATATATGTATGTATTCCAAATCCACGTGATAATTCCGTAGCCAAACAATATTATTATTGACTGGGCTTACACTCACTTGGCGTCGACGTCGACAACCAGCTCTTGAAATGGAAGCCTTCTGGATGAAGAATGGCATAAGAAGTTCTTAACTTAAATAATTGACAATCATAATACCGTCTTAAGTTGGCCTAAGTCAGTGAAATCGCTTATTCTTTCTTCTTTCTCTTTCTCTAACAGATAAGCCCCATTTTATCCTATTTCATCTCATTGTCAACTCTTTGATATTGTTTGATGATTTTATTTACTCACTCACTCATGCTACATCCGACCTTTGATACCAACAACTTACCAACCAAACTAAACCAACTTACCAACAAGATTATTACATTTATAAGAATTATATAGGTTATCATTGCCTCCTTTGACTTTAGCTTTGTTACTATTACTCATCAGATACATACATGACTTTGTTTACTGCGCACATTCCTGTTTTGTGTACATATGTATATAACGTTGACCAGTGTGCAGTTACCACAAATTCAGTTACCAGTTACCACAAATTCATACGGACATATATGTATGTACATGCATATATGTAAAGACTAAAATGCATGCATTCTAATTATACAATTTATTCTGAGTTAATTTTTAAGTCTTAATGCAAACAAGAAGTATTTGACATATTTTTACTCTATAAGTGATAAGACTATATCGTTGTGGTTTGCTTAAATAGTTTAGATACTTATTTAAATACAAGTAAATTGACAAAAATAGCTATGATTTTTAAATTGTTTCTTAAACCCAAATGAAAACTTGAATAAATGTGAATATGAATTCTAGTCTCACAAATACGGACTTAACAAATTGGCACGACGACTGTTTCTCGCTCATTCTCGGTGCGTAAATGTATGAAAAAGGACATGCGGCAAACAGGATTTGCCTTCTGCTAAATTGGAGTACCCGTCAGTTTATAGTGGTGCAACAGGGACAGTTATTTGCGACAATAGGATGATCAGCTTAAAGTATTTAATTAAATAATCAGCAGCTTACAAGCTACTTATGTAGCCTTTTCATGACATTCCACGCACTAACACCATCAAAGTGTACACTAAATAAACGGCTAACTGTGCTCCTTTATCAGAGGTCATTTACTTGCTAAAAATGCGAATTTGCTCCAAATATTTATTACAACTACCAACACTCTTTGATCGAAATCTCTTCTAATCCTTTAGGATTGTTGCTCAGCTTGTGTAGTTGTCACTTAATAGACTTACATAACGATACATGCGACTACTGAAAATTTGATTTCGTTAGATAAATATGTATGATTCGTTTGATTTTGCTTTGGAGTACTTTTAAGTTTATTTGATCACAATAATATTTTTTTTTAAAATTTATTTTCGCATTCAGTATATTTTTATGTAGACATGCGTATTGCGTACATTGTTTAAAATATGGTTTTCATTTCCAATGCGTTATGTTAATTTAACTTAACTCGGTAGCTCGTTTTTTACAAATCTTGGGAACACTAACTACATATTCATTTCGACCTTCGTTACGGTGTATGTGCATACACATAATTTTAATATTTGATGACGATGAGTAAGTAAAGTAGGAGCAAGCGCCAAGAGATGTGAATCCAGACGGTAAGATTTGTCACGTTTCTTCAAATGCTCTTGCAAAGCGCCGCATCCGGCTCATCCTTTCACATATTTATTACGTTAAGAATCCTGAACATGAATCGTATCCATTTGTATTCTTTTCCAAACGTAAGGTATCTAGGAGTGTCAAGGAATCTCCCTTTTGTGACGCATGCAACGATAATCTCTTAATTAATGCGCAATTAATTCAGGCGTAAGTCAAGATTTAACTGATGCCCATGTCATTTCACAATTGGTTATTATGTTCGTGAATTGTGCTAGGATGGGAATTAATTTCATCTGACATTTAAATTTCTTTCCTTTACAATTTGAATATGTTTGGTGATGGTTCTAACAGCACAAATTGACCATTAAACGAGCCCCTCCCTCCATATTACGCATATCATGCATATTTACTACTGGTAGCATTATTCAGTATAATGCTGAAATTGGTTGATGACGGCACTGATTCCCATATTAATTCAGGTGCATCGAGTGAAAATAAAATTGAAATACAATGTGTTTATTCATCAGTTGGGAGGGACTCTCTGCTCAAGAATATCTGTAGTACATAGCAGCCTATTATTATGTGCTAGCCCTTTGAACAATGAGGTACGGCCAAAGTCAACCGTAATGGGGGAACAGATGAACAAGGAAAGGAAATTAATGGCTTGCCGTGACCAAATGATCCTTGTATTCCATAGTTAACAGTTTATTACGTTGCTACTTTTGTGGACTGTAGTTTTACAAATAAAATTCCCTTCGAAAATTTCACCCTTTCTTCGCAGCCATGCTGTGGGATGAACGGGTCGTGACAAAATGGTAATTCCTACGTCACGGTCATAGAAAATAAATTTATTCACATTTTCGAACGATTGCAGAAGGGTACTAAGAATAGCTTGGTGCAGATAATGTGGTGCAACCGAATGACAATTTTAGACATTGTCTTCGAAATTCATAGAAACATTCATTCACACAGTGACACACACTCTGTACGCACGGATTAAAGAAAACCTGCAAACTTATTACTACATAAGGATGAGAATAGTGTGATGTGGTCAGCCAACACCGTGTGTACTGTATATATACGTATCACAATTTGACAGCACGAGCCCTTTGGGGTATTTAAGCCAAAAGCACACTCAAAGTAAACATCAGAACAGTTCCTGGATATGCAGGCTGTTGTAGCTTGTTTCCGATTTTAATATATTGAGCCTTAAAGTGACTCGTTGTAATCCTAAACAAATAAACCCGTGCATATGCGGTCGTGGCGTTGAATTATGAAACCTTCAATTCATTTTACTGTATTTCATTTGGCAAACGGGGCATGTATTTGACTAAGCAAATCATGCAAACATTTCATTCAAAAAGATGACGAATATCAAACAATTCTTTCAAAGTCAAACGCCTCATGATGTCCCACTTCTTGAGTCACCCGTCTGGAAATAAAGTTCAGTGGTCGTCGCTGGTCGTATTGTACAAAAGCATTACACGATGTTCACAGCCCTTGAGACATCAACGGAGAGGAAAACGGACAAATTTTAATTTTCTCGTTGAATCCGTTCAACACATACTTTAGAATCATCGCTTCACTACCAACCTATGTATGTGCATACTTACATTGCATAAGTCAAGTAAGTAAGCTCCTGATTTGTAATAGATATGTAGAAATGGGCATCGAAGTGAACTGAGATGAATTTAGTGGTAGGCAAATAATAAATGGGAGTATTATGCATACATTGTAGGTACCGATATTGACATTGTTCTTGAATATTTGGACACAAATTGTAATTAAGTATCGAGTATTTTAAACACTACGCAGGTACATATGATTCATTAAATTAAAAATCGACAGAAAAAACTTTGTGATAGCTTTCGAACAAGAACAACACATGCTGATAAACTAATTGCTCTCTAAAATTCGTCTGTTGGCATTATCATCCGCCGTATCTTTCTGATACTCTCTCTCCCTCCCTCGAACTAATCCCCAGACATTAATTTTGCTAGAGTATTATACATACGTATCCGGGTTTTATCGCCAACTGGATGTTATGTAATGGGGGTGTGGTGATGGTATAAGATTAATATTCATCTGGAATGATTGAATTGAATTCTAAAATCTGTTGGCAATGCTGTCTCATTAATGAAGAAGGCTGCTTTGACCTTTGCCACTAAGCTTATTGCCAGTAACTA